TGCCACTTTTGTGGTGTTTGAGGAGTGGACAAGACAAAAAACTTTGCTTCTTGTTCAAGGTTTAGACATGTGAGTGACGTTTGAAATGGTATGATTTTTTTGAGGTAATTGAAGCTTTTCAGTAATGCAATTTGTATATACGTTGAAATGCATGCGTCAGAGAAGTGAATAATTGATTTCTGTGTGTCTGAGGAGATAATTGGTGTTTTGAGAAATTGGCAAGATTGCAAGAGATGATGGTTTGAAAGGAAAATGACGATGTGTGATTGATTGAAGATTATTCAATCCTCTCTCACTCTTTCTTACTCTCTCTCTCTCGTGGTACGACTCTCTGCAAGACTTCTTTTTTTGCACTTCTGCAGTGCAAAATGAAAGCTCTGGCAATGCTGTTGGTTGATAATGATGGAGAGAAGTAAAAGTGTTTAAAAGTTTCGCCGACGAAAGTCAAATTGGATTACAAAATGTATTTGTAATTTTACCTCTCTCTCTCTCACACTGTGTCTCCCTTCTCGCGATGGGGATTATGAAATAAATTCACATGCACATAATTGAGTGAAAAGAGGGTGTTATACTTGAAAACTTTCCACATTATTAATACATATAAATTGAGAAGAGAGCTTAAGTGCGTGTGGATTTTTTTTTGCATACTGCACCTTTTTTTACCACTCTGTTGCAGTTTTTTCTTTTGTATCGTTTTCTTGTCTTACCTGCTGGATTAAAATTAAAGTCGGTTAGTATGATATTTTCTCACTGCATAATGAAAGTGGAGCAACAACAACTTATGGCGATATAAAGTGTGTGTGTGTGTGTTTGGTGTTTTTTTTTTGGAGCGCGATTAAGCAGAGATAAAGAGGCCCAACGAGTTTTTTGTGGTATAAAAAAGAACTGACAAGATTTAACCCTGCGATTTATTATTTTTATTATTATCTTTCTGTGACATTTGTGTTCACTTTTCTCTCTTTCCATGTTATCGTGAAAATGGTTTGGGGAAAAGAGGAAGTGTGTACCGCCGAGACTGATGCTCTCTCTCACTCTATGCTTTTTTTTTGATAAGAAATCAATCACTCTGTGTTGAAGTGCAAATTGCTTTAGAGAATTAATATTTTCCATTTCATCAGATGCTTAGTAACAACAATATGTGTTTTAGTATATAATATAAATTGCAGGGTAAGCTGATGAGGTTATATTGTGGGGAAAGAAAAGAAGAATAGCGGTTATTGTTGGACGTGTTGTGTGGAAACTATGTAATGTTTAATCATATGAAAATGCGCTGCGTGATATGGTGCGGAGTATGTTGATAAGGAATTTGTCACGTTATATTCCAATGTGCATATTTATCACTTTCGAATGACTGAAAAATGTGAATACACTGAAGGGGAGCAGAAAAAATACAAAGTTCACCACATTTTCTACTTTTTCTCCAGGCTTTCTCTCTCGTATATCTCTTCGTACACCCTGATGAGATACGTTAACTCATCTCTCTCTGTGTGTGCTTTTTTATTCAACACCACAAGCACAAGCACAAGAGAGAGACTTGCAAATTTGTGATGATATAATTTTTTGTATAAATGCATCAAACAGAGAGACAAAAGTTATAAATTGCTATTTTTCTGTTAATTATAGTGAAAATTCGAAAATTGCTCATCGTAGTTTTTTGCACATGATGAATTTTCATTACAATTATTAAGTCGCTATGTTAATATTTATATATATATATAAATGAATTAATATTGTATAAATGTGTGCGAAACTCGTGGAAATTGCATGAGATATTTTTTATGCAGAAAATTCCACACGTTCACAATGGGAATTAATATAAATACAGTCAAGTATTTTCCATGGAAGGAAATTGAACAGAGAGAGAAAAATCACTCCCGAGGGGTTTAGTAGTGCAGTGATTTTTCTTTCTGTTCATGAAGTTAATGAAAAATCTTATATGTTTAGCGTCTTATTGTAGGAATTTGTGGTAAATTGTGGGACTTTTTTTTTGGGTGTTCATAAATGGGCTTTTGTGTCGAATTGAACTTTTATTTCCACTTCATGAACATGGCCAAAAGTTGGAGAAGGTTTTTCGAGTTTTTTTTTCCGTACATTTATATTATTGCCTGGTGTATTTTATACATATTTTATATATACAGTGTGAGGCAAAAGCAGCATGAATTGATCAATTTTAGTCGACCGTGTGCTACTTTCAAATGAAACTTGTGCTCGCAGCATAATGTGCAATGCTGAAGTGTGGCTGTTTTTGGCTTTTCAACTTTTTCAGCAATCTCACAACACCCTTTCAAAAATATGTTCCCTTCAACTCTCTCTCAAAAGCGCGAAAGGAAGTTTTGTGACGTTGGAGAGAAATATCGCGCGAGACTTTTGAGCTCTGCGGGTGTTTGATTTGCTAGAATATACGAAAGCTTCTTTGTGACTTTAGAAGAGAAGTAATGAATATAAATGGCGTGCTGAAAAGTGAGGAAATCTTTTTTTTTTGCAATTGCATTTATGCACACTTTTCAATTGAATGACTTCTATGTTGAGGGATTACAAGCAAAAAGAGAGAAGAAGAAGGAGGAGAAAAATTGCACACAATTCAATGAGCAATTGTGACTCAACCTTCAATTTGTGTAGTTGCACACTGTGTGTGGTAGAAAGTGTCATTGAGGAATGCTTATCACGTGATGATCATTTTATCGCGAAAGGGTATCTCAGAAATTTCCCTGGCCTTGGCATCATTGACCTCAAAATATCTATACTATTCAGCTGTTAGTGTGTTTTTCCTGTATTTGCCGTCACACTTTCATTGAGGGAAAATCGTGGATGAGACGATGAATAAATAGAAGACACTCTTGTCAATTGAATGGTGTGATTTTGTTGTTTTTTTTTTCGTTGTTGTTGCTGTTCAGGGTATTAAGTCATTGTGTAATGTTGCAATGTAGGTGAGACTAAAAATTGATTCACGCCTGAAAATCAGTGTATTTCAGACAGTGAAACTTTTAGTCACGTCAATTGGTCAATATTTATTTGATCAATATGTGAATTTGCAAACCTTTTTATGCTGAAGTGCCTTAAATTTTCCATTCTGTGCTCTAGTTCAGAGTCAGTTTTCATCTCTGATAGAGGCGAAAGCCCAATTTACATTGCAGAATGTGTTATTGAGGATTCTGTGACCTGAGAGTGAGCAAAGTACATTGCGCTGCGGTACAGAATAAGCAATTTACCATGGGTGATTGATCTGATAACGACCTCAGGAGAAAATTTGACAGTATCAGCAAAATACTTAGAGTGAACATAAGATGGTGTGGTCAAGGAGAAAAGTGGTAGAATGTCTCTCTCTCTCTTGGGTGTGGGTTAAATTCTTGCCAAAGATATACGAAAAAGCCTGCACTTTATCGCAATTGAAATTTTGAAAGTGCAGAATTGCAATATGATGCAACATTTTTAGCATGCAACTCATGAACCTGACCGCAATAGTATATAATTCTTCGATAGAGCAAAGAGAAAATTGCGCCAGAAGTGCATTAATGTGCGTACGTGAAAATGTGCCTCACTTCTCTCTCTCTCTCTCTCTCGCTCTTTCTGTTTCTTCACTTTTATCAAGTCAATTTATTGGTTCCCCAATAGGAGGACTTGGAGCGCGAGTGTGTTTTGGGGAGAATTGTTGGGAGTTGTCGTCTTTTCCCAACCACTATATTCATGATAATTAATTTAAATCAGTGAAGAGAATTGAATAATGGTGTTTCCTTAATGATGAAATACGATGACTTAATCTAGCGCACATTTGAGTTAATTAGGTGAAAAAAGCAAACAATTCACGGAGTCAATTTGATGTGAAGAAATGTTTATTCACCTTTATTTCTGAGGAAAAAGAAAATTCAATCTTTTCACATTCGCAAAAATTGTGCTAATGACTTCGATGATTAAAAAAAAGAAGAAGAAGTCAATTGTGTGGCGGAGAAGATGAATAGAGAGCAATGAATGATAAGGCAAATTGTGTGACAAAATGCGCTTATGGCGCACTTGGCTAACCACAGTGACACATCCTAAATAAGGAATTCTAGAGCAATTGTCGGCGATATCATTCGATTTTGACCGGTGTGACATTCTACTATCTTTCGATGGGTGGAAAGTGTAATATAAATTTGCAAAGTGTGTCACGAATGTGTAAGATTGAGCAATTTTATATTGTGTATTTCTGGAATATTGCGGTGATTCTTAATTTTAGACTTCCTCTTTCTGTGTGTCAAATGATACCATATCTTTTCATTTATATACACTTTCCAAAAGTGTCATCAAGGGGGAGATAATAAGCTTGAAATCTGTGCACCACTTCTAAAAACTTCCAAATTGGTTTGTTTCCACATTAATCCTCAAGATATATTGAATTTCTTGAGTTTCCATTCAATATTTCGATGTTTTTCGATCATAACCTCAAAAATATAACTAAGAGATCTTCAAAAACTCCGTTTGGAAGATTTCTAGATCACAAAATCTTGTCTTATGATTTGCCAATGATCTTAAAATTGTTGATTCACAGTCAAAATTGAACAGAAAGTTTTCTATATGGACATTTTCCAAGTTTAAATTACTATTTTTAAGGTTATGTTTGACTTTAGCGCAATTTGTACTGTTTATTGGCATCAAATGATCAAAAAAGCATTGTAAATTGCTTAATTCTGTCACTGAATAGCAATTTCTTTGACTAGAGTGTAAGAATTGATGTTCTAGAATACGAATTATTCATTAAATCTGTCCCTGATTCATTACATAACCTATAAAAAGACTCTAACGTTCGTTTCTATGTAAAAATAGAATGAAAATCCAAAGAATCTTGGTGATTTGTCAGTGAATTAAGCATTCAGAAATGGAATATTGTAGGTTTTTCAACACTTCCACTTCTTAAGTATACTTCTGACTGTATTATCTCCCCCTTGAGTGACACATATGTGTTATTTTTAGGTGTGTGTATATTCTTGATGTGAATAATCATATTGTCCCTGTTTTGTCTCCAGATGCACAGTGGCACCTGCATCGCCCCAACGAATCCGGCCTTCTCCGTGTCCATTGGGATTGCGTCGTTGGTGCTGGAGGGACGCTCAGTGGTGAATGACGAGGATTCACGCGATGCCGCCGCGAGTCAGCAACAGCTGGCCTCGAGTGCGGCAGCATCGTCGTGGGCAAAGTCGGATTCCGTTCAGAATATCCATCGGCTGAAGCAGAAATTGCGTCAATTGCGATCGGCGCCGAGCACGAGCAAAGATTCAGCGGAATTCTACCAGACCACAGCCGCCGCCGCTGCCGCCGCGATGATGACATCAGCTCCAGATGATGTGGACTCGGACAATGATCTCGATGTGCCCATGATGAAGTCGGCCACGTCGTCCAGTGCGAGTAGCTCTGGGGGAAGTTCTGGTGACACGGCGAGTCTCCTGGATTCGCTGCAGAATCTGGCGTCGACGTGTCTCAAGTCAAAGCCACGATCACTGAAGGCGATGGGATTGTTCAAGACGGTGGATTTGGACACGAGTTTGTCCACGTTGCTCGCCAGATCGGCGTCCACGTCGTCGGTGATGTCGAAGGAGATGTTGAAGGGACGCAGCAATTCCACATCGCGACGATCGAGCATCAAGTGTGGCTTTCACTGTGAGCAATTTCTCAAGAAGATCGGCGTAATTAAGCAGGGTCAGGACAATGATGCTGAACACCATTGCAGTGATCTGGCAGAAAGTGTAAGTGCGACGAATTGTTGGAAAGATTGGATGCAAAGTAAATGACTTTCTCGATGATTTGCAGTGTTGTCGTTGGCAAATGCAGTATAAACAAATGGCAGCCATTCTCAGTCGAGGCAATGGAATTTGCATTGAGGTGTATCTTGGACCGGAGACGCAACCGCTGCTCCTTGAGCAGTGGATCATACAGAAGATCGACAAGTGAGTTTATTTATTTTATGATTTTGGCTGGGGAAAGTTACAGTGCAAATTTGTCGAGACTTTTTGATGCCTTGAATAACTCTGAAGTCACTGAAACAGAGCTGAGAATTGAAGATGATTAATTGTATTATGTGTAATAGATTAATTTCTGCTGTTTGCGGAAGTAATTCTCAATGTGGGTCAAGAGGAGAGTGAGAAAGAGAGATGGTTGTTGAATGTGTGTTTAATCTTTGATAAGGTAAATTAAATTTGGAAAATTTTCATGAGATAAGCTTTAAGTCCAATTTATTATACACACACATATTTTTATTTTTAAAATCAGAAAAATATGTGAAATAATGCGAATCAGACACACATGATATACTTGAACCTTGTTCACTTGATTCACATTGGTTTTTCCTTCGCAATCTACAAAAAAGTCACTCAACTCAGCTCTGGCTTCAGGAAGTTTTCAAAAATCATGGCGTGGCACTAATAAATATAAGATGCCAAGTGTGAACCTTGGATTCCTTCAAGCTTTGTGATTCTCCAAAAAAAAATTATGAGTGTCTTTTTAATGTTTATTTTGCAGGCCCGTTGAACCTGGAATGACTCTTCCGTCGCTCTGCACTGCCATTCGTAGTCAGTTGCACTTCTCACAGATCACAGCGTGGACGGATTTGCTGTCCAGCGGTGTGGAGTTGCGTGACAATCCGCGAATAACATTTGGACAATCGCTTGGACCACGTCTGGATATTTACTATCGTGTGAAATCCTACGATACTGTGTCGAATTTTGAGAATCAACCGCTGATTCACACATTTCCCAATGTGAAGCTAGACGACGGTGTGGCAGTTCAGGTGTGTCTTAAGAGTCTGCCGCGCCTGGAGATGATCCCGAAGTTGAATGAGGAGCGCGTGTTGGCGGTGAGTGAGGAGCGTGAGATGATTTCGGTGCCATGTTGCATGGAGAAGGGGAAGCATAGGTGTACATTTGATGAGGAATCACCCACGGAGATGATGAGCAGCATGAACATCCTGCCGTCGGTGTTGCATCGGGAGAAGCAGCTGCAGAAGTACAAGAAGCGCCTGATGCGGCGGGACAAGAAGAAGATGCGACAGAGTGGTGAGGAGGACAGGTGGATGCAGAGTGAGGAGGATGTGGCGGTGGCGGCGGAGGTGGAGGCGCCGCGGCAGATGATGATGACGGCGACGACGACGAGGGTGGAGGAGAGGCGGCAGTATGTGGGTGAGAAGATGCCCAAGCCACCGATTAATGATCTCAGACCACCGCTCTACTTCACATCGCCGTGTCTGGAGCCCATTGCGCCGCCGGCGCCGCCGCCGCGGAGTGCCACGCAGGCGACACAGACGGTCACGATGGTCCATGACACGATCACCGTGTCCACACAGACGGATCTCATGGACTGCTTTCCACAATGTGATCTTTGCAATAATGAAATGCAATACATATGCTGGAACTGTGATAATAATATTATTGTGAATCTGGCGTCAGAGGCGAAGGTGCCGCCGCTCAACAAGGCGGATCTGCTGCTGCAGGCGATGCAGCGCACGGCGCTGGCCAAGTGTCGCACGCCCGAGCACACGTGCGACAGAGGATCCTGTGATAGCGCCAACGGAGACTTGGATTGTCGATTGTGCAAGAGGCAGAAGATTCAGCACATCTACGGCGGCGAGAGGCCAACAGACGTGGCGCTCAGTCAGTTTGACGAGATGAGTCTGGATGTGGCGGACGATGAGGCTGGCGGTGTGGCGGAGTTTCGTGCTGAGGATCAGTACAGGACGCCACAGAGCAATGGCACAGCCGCCGCTGCACTTCATGTCAACACAACGCCGCACAGAGTGCCGCCGGCTGAGACGCTGACGACTGGCGGTGTGATGAATACGGTGAAATCGTCGCTGAGTCGCGTGAGGAATCTACCAAAGATCAATCTATCGAGTGTGTTCGGGGAGGCGGCGTCGCTGCGTGCGCCGACGATGACGACGCAGGAGCACAAATCCTCCCCAATTCCCATTAGGAACATCTTCAATTTCGACATGACGCCCAATGTTGGCTCCGTCGTGCCTGTCCAGAAGTCAAATTCAGCGCCCACATTCAATGGTTCGCACACCCTTTCGCCACGCTTTATCAAGTCCGCCGCGATCTACAAGCGCAGATCGCGACATTTGTCCGATCGATCGTCCGAGAGATCATCAATAGGATCAGACGAACAGATCTCCGATGATGATCTCACCCTTGATAGTCCAATGACATCGCCAATTAAGCTCTCCACCAGCTCAACGTGGAAGCTGCCATTTGGTCGCAGAGGACTTTTAGGTATGTGTTAAACAGCTGTCTTTTCGTGGGATATTTGATGTGAAAATTGCATTCTTGCAGGTTCTCTGGAGGAATCTCTTCTGCAGAGACGCATCGTTCCAAAATTTCAAGTTCCTGGCTTTCGTATCTTACTGGGAGCATCCGGAAGTTTCTGTCCAACTCAACTGACAATCCCCGCTAAGACTTACTTCTACGAAATGGCAGGACAAACAATCAGTACTCCTTATGTGGTATGAATTCTTTCTACTGTTTAAATGGCTTTAATGTTAATTTCACCTCATTTTCTGAATATGCAACAAAACACTTTTTATAGCTTTCTAACAAAGTGGTTCAAGTTCTTTCCTGATTCTTGCAATTGACTAAGCAAGATCTCTTTATGGTGGAAAAACCTTCAGTTTTCCGTTTTGGGATGAGAGCTTATGGACAAGGGGGAGATAATGTGGCTGAACTTCAATCACAAACACTTCTAGACCTCTGACAGTGCTTAAAACATGTGTTTTCCTTATTTTATTCACATTTTTCGGTGACTTTATATATCATAACCTCAAATTCAGGGGTCTTTGACCTAAAATGACGCCATTTTTGATTGTGTGACTCTGAAAACTTACGCAAAAACAGTATTTTAGGAATATTTGAGGTCTCTAGCGGATATTTTGATGTACTTTGTAACATAACCTAAAATTTACCTTGAAAGAAACTTATTCGGAATCTTTTAAAGGCAAGACTAATCGACAATGAGCTAAAATTTGCTATTTCAGAGTAGAAAATCAGAAAATCAATCAGAAAGCTCATGAAAAAGATATTTTTGTATCCTGAAACCATATTTTAGAGGTTATGATCAATATTAGCATAATTAACACGAGTTTAACATTGAAAGCTTGTGATTTTTATTCGATTTCATTATTATTGTGCCGGTAAGCGCAAAAATGAATGATTTTGAAGGTTATTTAGTGGCAAATTTTGTCTTAAATTCATAACATAACCTAGAAAATGTTAAGAATAATTCTTTTTCTCCAATTATTGCATTAATTTCTTTTGAAAGTAACTTTTGAACGCACAAATATTGGAAAGATTCAAGCACATCCACTTCCAAATACTTCCACTGAATTGTACACCACTTCTGACCATAATATCTCCCTCTTGCTTATGGAATGATTGACATTGTGAATGATGTAAAAATGCCTGTATTTGTTGCAGAGCGAGGTTCGTCTGTCGCGGAAGGGATACTCAATTCCACGATCGGGCACAATCCAGGTGACGCTGCTGAATCCGCTCGGGACAGTGGTGCGGATGTTTGTGGTGGCGTACGATTTCCGGGACATGCCCAACATGGCGACGACGTTCATTCGGCAGCGCGTTCTGGCCTTCGATGAGGATCTCAATCCGGGCCGCGAAGTGGCTCAGTTGACGACGTGCGAGCAGATGAAGCTCCTTCGCTACGTCATTCATCTCAAGTGAGTTTTGGGGCAGTTTTTTACTTGTATGCGCAATTTTGCTGATGTTGATTGTTTTGTGCAGATTTCAGACATCACGCTCGGGCCGATTGTCGCTGCATTCGGACATTAAGATGCTCATCTCCAGGCGCACAGACTGTGATACAGCAGCTGCACACGCCAAGGATGCCCTCGAGAGTCCCAACGAGCTCAAAATTCTCACCATTCAACCCGACAATCCGCGCTTCAGTCTGCGAGTTGATAAGAATTGACGCATCATTGGCTCAGTCTCAGAGTGAAATATCTCTGAGAAGAAGAAAAAATTGTACGCAAAGAGGCGAGGAAAATTTATCGATATATTTTTTAAGTTAGGCGATAGACACGATAATAATTTTTAGAGAAGAAAGAATTATTAGGTTTTAATTGTCGATGTCTCATCACTTTTAGCGATTTGTGATTTGTTTAATGTCTAATTAATATTTTTTTTTTTAGAAAGTGGAATTTTTCTCATTATCGTCGCGAAAATATTCAATGATTTTTTTTTTCTTAATTATTATTATTATTTAGGATTTGCTTTTGACCACACGAAAATTTTTTTAGAAATTCGTTTCTTGCAATATTTTTCTTTATTTTGGATTAAAAAAAAATTATAAATTATGTCTTGAAGAGGAATTTTTGAGGAGGAGAGAATTTAAATGCAATTTGCCAAAAATGGGCAAATATAGAGAGAGAGAGAAAGAGGAGAAATTGTAAGTTATTTTTGAAGTAGATGCGTGTTTAGCTGGAAGTTTCATATGACAAATTTAGAGAGAAAGAGAGTTTGGGAAGAAGAAAAAATATATCTTGAATTGTAGAAGTTTCGGTCACAAGAATTGTCAATGTTTAAATGCAATGTTTGATGAAGCAGAAGCTGAAGAGTTAGCTGAAGACACAATTAACACAAAAAAAGTCCTTTTCTGTCCGCTTCTTTTCCCAAGAAAAAAGAAAAAAAAACACCCCCAGCAATATGTCAATGTGGTTCAATGCTTCAAGACAGTGGTTATGAAATACATAAATTATTGATGGAACAGAAAATATATATCTCTAGCGACAAAAGTAAATGTAGACACTGCCATAGAGAAAAGAATTGATTCTGGTCGTTGACGTGAAGCAGCGCACGTCGTTTTTTCTTCGCGAAAAATATATTAAATCGATTTATTTTAATTAGAATGAAGAGAGAAAAAGAGAGTTTAACAAGAGAAAGAGAGAGAGAAGCAAAAAATGGTATATTGAATGTAGTCAGTGATAAACTATTGCCAACGTGTATATAAAATGCTTCTAGTGGTACAGAGAAAAATAATAAAAAAAAAATCAAGCAGAATATCGTTATAATCAATATATTTTTCGATGAAAAGTGAGAGAGAGAGAAAGAAGAGGAAAATTCAAATGAAGACCCTTTTTGGCGAGTTTTCGGCTCTTTTTTCCGAAAACTATATAATAAAAATTTCAAACGATGAATTAAATAGATGTTTTGTTGCATTATTTTACTTGAGAATTGTAAATGTTATGAATAAAATGCGTATCAAAGTAAAAGAAACACGTGTTCTTGACTGTTTGCTTTTTGAATGCAAAGTATACTCCAGCGCCTCTGGTGTGGCGCAAGGGAAATTGTGTAGTTCTCGGCGCCTGAAAGTATGTAAATTTGAGCAAATCGAGCAAAATTGCGCGTTTTCTGTGCCCGAATGACAATCTAACCTAACTTTTTACAGTATTTGATGCCATGTTTGCTCTCAAATTGCTCTGTTTTCCGTGAAAATACTCGATAATTTGGTGACGAAATGGAACCAGGAGTTATTAAGAAGCTCGATGAGAATGTTGTGAATCAAATTGCAGCAGGAGAAGTGATTCAGCGTCCGGCAAATGCTCTAAAAGAGCTCATTGAAAATTGGTAAACAATTCCCAGAGTTTCCCGGAATACTTAACAAATCTCTTGTTCTCTCACAGTCTCGACGCCAAAGCCACCAACATTGAGGTGACTGTGAAATGTGGGGGCATGAAAATGTTGCAGATCCTGGACAATGGCACAGGTATTCGGAGGGAAGATCTGGAAATTGTCTGTGAACGCTTCACGACGTCAAAGTTGGAGAGATTCCATGAATTGTCTAGGATTTCTACTTACGGATTTCGCGGTGAAGCCTTGTCCAGCATCAGTCACGTCGCCCATCTGCGGATCCAGACGAAGACGCGCGACTCTGTGTGCGCCTACAAGGCGCAGTATGAAGGTGGGAGATTGAGAGGAGATCCTGTGCCTTGTGCCGGCAATCAGGGCACAATAATCACGGTTGAAGATCTGTTTTACAACACACCACAGCGGAGAAACACTCTGAGGACGCCAAATGATGAGTATCAGTTGATTTACGGCGTGATAAGCAAATATGCCATCCACAATCATCACGTTGGTTTCACGCTGAAGAAGTTTGGCGAAAGTCCAGCCATAAGAACCACAGCGAAGTCTTCAGTCTTGGACAACATTCGGGTGATTTATGGCAATTCGGTGGCAACTGAGCTGCTTTCCGTTGAGTTCGCAGATCAAGCATTGAAGTTCTCAGCCAGAGGTTTTGTCTCCAATGGAAGTCACGCGCTGAAGAAGGGCATTTTCTTGCTGTTCATCAACAATCGCCTCGTGGAGTGTGAAACCCTCCGGACGGCCTTGAATGAACTCTACAGCGCATTTATTCCCGCGGGAAATCATCCATTTATCTACATGAGTCTCCAAATTGATCCTCTGGCCATCGATGTCAACATTCACCCCACAAAGCACGAGGTTCGCTTCCTCCACGAGGATGTCATCGTGCAGAGAATCGTCCAGAAGATTGAGGAGAAACTGCTGGAAGGGAAGTCTTCGAAGACTTTCTACACGGAATCTCGATTGCCGTCGCAGAAAGCGACGAAAAATCAACCTTCTACTTCGGCAGAGCCCAAAGAAGAGCGCAAAACCACGGAGGAAAGTGCAAAGATTGTCCGGACGGACAGTCGAGAGGTGAAGATTGAGAAGTTCTTCTCGCAATCCTTCACTTCTTCTCCAATCATCACGAAGAGTGAGCCAAAGGCAGAAACATCAACAAAGTGAGACATTGTGATCTTCTTTTGCCTGAAATCTCTGAAATTACTATCATATTTCCTTCCCAGATCACCAAAAGCACCAATGCTGACCAGCATCTTGACGCTGAGAAAGACGGTTGAGGATAATTGCAGCGATCCGCTGCGGAAGATCATCAATGAGTCGAGTTTCGTTGGTGCTGTGGATAGGAAACACTTCCTGATTCAATCGGAGGACAAGATGTTCCTCTGCGACACCAGGAAGTTGTGGTGAGACGAAGGATCTTCTCTCTGGCGTGATAATGCACTGAATTCTCTCTTCTCTCTTTCCAGTCAGGAACTCTTCTACCAAATCCTCCTCTATCACTTCAGGAACTTTGGGAAAATCGAACTGGAGGAACCCCTGAAGCTGGAGGACTTGGCCATGATGGCGCTGGACTCTGAGGAGAGTGGCTGGACGCCAGAGGATGGCGAGAAGAGTGATTTGGTGCAATTAACAGTGGAGATTCTGTGCGAAAAGGCGCCAATCATGAAGGATTACTACAACTTGATCATCAACGCAGAAGATCACACTCTGAGAACTCTTCCATTGCTGCTGGCCAGTTTCACGCCGCCCATGAGCTATCTGCCCATGTTCATTCTGCGTCTGGCCACAGATGTGGACTGGAAGAGCGAAAAGGAAGGTTTAGAGTCGCTTAGTGAGGAAATAGCGCGCTTCTACTCAGAACCGGAGTTCTGCGAGGCTGAAGAGCAAGTTTATGCCATTCTGGAGCACATCCTTTATCCCGCCATGAAGGAGTATCTCATCCCGCCTCGGAGTTTTGCCTCCAACAAGGCATTCCTCGAGGTTGCAGCGCTTCCGGAACTGCACAAAGTCTTCGAGAGATGTTGATGCGTGGTTCGTAATACATTTTATATTCACAATTTTCACTGACTCTTCGACACTTCACCGAGATCAGGCTGTTTGGATCTCACTTCTCGCGGCGCATTCTTCACGTGCTCCCGGAGAAGAGTCATTATTTCGTTGTCATACTCAGTCGGGATGGGTTTCTTCTCCGTGGCCCAGTAGTAAATGTCCCAGTCATTCGAGGGACCATTGATCAATCTGTCATAGAGCTTTGTCTGCTCCGGCGTCATCTGCTGAAGGTATTTTCCGGCAAATGTGCTCAGCAGCAGGTCATTTTCCAGCATTCCGCGCTTCCGGGACTGATAAAGCAGTCTCGCTTTCTGCACTGCCAGCGATTCGTTCTCCTTGAACGGATACTCAGGAATCATCACCAATTTAGGGTCCTCAATATCAATGCACGGCACCTGATCGGGATTGCCCTCCTTTCGTGAATCGCAAAAGGACGCCAGCCGGAAAACTTCCCTCCGGCGGAGCTGAAGTTACATAAAATTGAGGTTATCCAGTATTTAATCACTTTTCAGGCAGAATTTTGAGAATGATTTTACTCACCGTGTGTTGAAAAATGATGCGAAGCATCTTTGTTACGAGTTTAGTTAATTATTGCAGAGTATTTGTTGTTTTCTCTACGCGAATTTCATCGGCAAAAAGACCCAACAAAACAGCTGCGAATTTTCCTAAACAAATCGACTAAAGCGACACGCAGCGATGAACATTTGAAGTGAATAGCGAAGACACACCCACGATTCGCCAGTGATTCTCAAATTCCGTGGCGGGAAATCATGAGAAAATTACCAGCAAGAAAAATACATAAATTCATTGCTTGTCTAAGAAAAATTTCTCTATGCAAATCACACATTTTCAACAACTTTCATTTCACCTTGTAAGAAATTTTCCTGGATGTTTTGTGAGCTAATATAAATTCCGATTGCGATAAGTTTAACATTTCTCGCCACTTTAATCTGCTTATCGGTGGTGTAAAATCTTTCAATCTCGTGGGAAACGTTTCATTGACAAAAATCCCTTAAATCTCATCTGCTGGAGAATGTAATTTTCTCGTGGTGGCAAAAAAAGGGCGGCAATAGAGATGAGAAAGGAGAGTCTGAGACAAGAAGCCATCGGATGTTTCTTGCTGACTTCCACTTCCTCTCTCTCTCTGTCCTCTAGTCAACCTCTTTTTGTCATGTCCGCCCAGGATCTCAATTTACCCGGAGAGACACTTTCTTCCTGGACGTCGAAAAGCTGGCCTGAAGAAGGCGGAGGACTTCTTGCAGTGGAAAATGTGCCAAAGGTGGTCGATGAAAACTATTAATTATGGCTCTTTTTCATTATCCTCTTCCCTTCGCGTGCAAAAGGAGGGGAGGAAATGTCTTATATGTGATTTTCAAGGGGGAGATAACATGGTCAGAAGTAGTTTAGAGATCAATTGAAGTTTTAGGAAGTGAAACTGTTTATATTTGATTCAAGAGGTTTGATTTTCTGTTCATTATTCTACTCTTAGAAATGAATTTTTATCCAATACCTAATTTTGACATATTTTTCTAGGTTATGTGACTGATTTAAGACTTAAAGTAGAAATTCTTGGACCTAAACTGAAAGTATTTTCACTTTATTGGTAGAATTTCGTAGTTTTACCCAATGAAAACCGTGATTTTTTAAACTAAGTTTAAATCAAACATAACCTCATTTTTTTTAATAAACTGTTGCGATTTAGAGTTAAAAATAAAGAAAGAAAATTAATTAAAGGATTATGATCAAGAAAAATACGCAATATTGTAATTTTAGCGGAATAAAATCACTAATTATTGTATGAAAACGTGACTTTGAAAGTTTCTGGTTAGATTTCAGTTAGATTTTAGTCATATTCCAGTCATTAGTTGATTTTAGTCTTGTTTCAAACAATCAGTGAAGTCTGAAGTCCTGGAAAGTGTTAAGGATTCTTCATACAAACTGTAAAAGTGTCAGGAAGTGGTGTACATATTTCAGCCATATTATCTTCCCCTTGGTCTCTTTTGTCGTTGCGTTGGCAAAAAGCGCGCACATGAGTTGTGGCTGAATTGCCGTGCGGAAAGTGAATTTGGGGATAAAATCAGGGGTGCAAGAGTGTGAATGTGAGCACGGTTTTTGGTTAAACTGCGATACAGAGTGAGGGAATCGTGCCCTTTGACCCTCTTCGCGTCACAATCATGCACACACACACGGAGAGAGCAAAAATCCGCCCACACAAAACACCTGTGGATGATTTATAATAATTGTGCGAATTTTTGGGACCTTTTGCCGTGGCGGAAGTGTTGGGAATTCGGCGTGGAGTCTGCGTGTGTCTTTTGCCACTCTTTCCCACCCACTTTTCCCGCACACAGTTCGCATAGACGCGAGCATCATTCCATTCTCCCTCCCCAGAAATGGTCAATTAGTGGATGACGTTCGAGGATCTTGGCGTAAAGTACGGTAATTAATTATTTTTTGCGCGCCGCCTTCGTGTCTTTCATGCCTTCAAAATTAGATTAACACGGAAATGATTACATAAATGGCATTTTCAGGTGATGTGACCTGTCCTTCTCTTGCTTTCTGACCATTTTTCTCAGTCCGCCTGTCCGGTCTTTTAGCGGAAGCGCAAATTTACCCTGCCTTTTATCCAATTACTTCAAAAAGGGGCTGTTTTTTTCCGCAGGCACAAAAATTGAGCGTGGGTTTTTTCTAATGTACCTGCTCTTAGCGATGGAAGAGCACAGACACGGCGTGATGCTGTAAAATGAATTTGGAATTAGCAAAAGAGTAATTTCTAGTGGCCAAACAATTAGCATTAAGCGCGTGGGGATGTTTGATAAGTAAGATTATCTGAGTAATTGCAATTTAAGTAATAGTTTTATGAATCCACAAATTTTACTGAATCTCTTGAGTGTCCATTCGATATTTCAGTAAGAATTGACTTAAAATCGCTTATTTCGGGTATATTTTCCGACCATAACCTCAAAATATCATCAAAGGTCTTCAAAAACTCTGTTTGAAAGCTTCCTAGAACACAAAATCATCTCTTATGATTTGCCAATGACCTTAAAATTGCTGAAAGTCTTCCAAATGGACATTTTTAAGGTTATGTTTGACTTTAGCGCAATTTTCAGTGTTTCTTGGCATCAAATTATCAAAAAAGCACTGTTTATTGTTGCAAATGCCGAATTCTGTCAATGTCTAGCAATCTCTTCGACTAGAGCGTAAGAATTGATATGCTAGAATGCTATTTATTCACTAAATCTGTCCTTTATTTGTTACATAACCTAGAAAAAAGATTATTACGTTTGTTTCCGCATGAAAATCGAAGTAAATCTTAAGAATCTTGATGATTTGTCAGTAAATTAAGTATTCAGGAAAGGAATATTGTTGATTTATAAACACTTCCACTTCTTAAATATACCTCTGACTGTAATATCTCCCCCTTGATGTGATTTAGGGACGGAAATTACAGGAAAAAGGCTTGGGAAACGCAGCAAATTTGTTGATATTCGAATTGTCCTTCTTTGTTATGCGACAATATGTCTTGTTTTGGTTAAATATTTGTCAATTATGTTGCATGTTCACATACTTTCCTCCCATGGCTTTGCTGTGATGAAATGGCAAATAAACAGAAAAATCTGCCCACAAGGAAACGATGATGATGTATCTTTTCACAAAAGCCAAAATGCTCTGTGATTCATATTTTCCCCGGATTTATTGAGGAATTTTCTAATAATGGAATGGATTTACCCGCAGCAGAATCTCGGGCAGAGAGCGAAAGAGTGACCTAATGAATTTCTCCACATATATTCCACCCTCATTCATGCCTCATATCATATGCGGTGTGTAGAGAATTTCCTCATCATTTTCTTCTCTTTCTTGGTCGGAAAGTTGAGGCTTCCACACCGAAAGGTCTGTCAGTGAATTTTCCTTGGGATAAATGTCATGATTATGCGAAAATGATGCTGATAATAGTTGATGATGTCGACTTTCATTCACTCATCCTTTCAGCGTCATCGAGTTCTCAAGGGGCCTTCTTGGGTGGGAAGAATGTTGGGGCATGGGAAAAGTTAGTAATTACTGGACTTTTCGAATTTCGTCACTTTGATATTTTCCTCCCCCCACCCCCATCCCAGAAAGCTATTATTTTACAATCTTTTGTCTAATTTATTGATGAGAATGTCGCACACTTTTGGCAGCAATTAAAACTCGACAGAATTTTACACAAGGACAGGAAAGGCGTATATTGTTCTCTATTAACAACAGAGGAAACTAAAACTTGTGGCAGGAATTTGTCAGTTTCCTCTTGGATAGTGCCAAAAGCTCGCTTTGGTGGAGTTTTGAGCGTGCTTTATGGGGACAACTTGAGTTCAGCAGTGTTGGACGGATTGTTAACATTTTACCTTTTGCTACATTCTTACACAGGTAAAGAATGTATAAAAGGACATTTTAACAAATTAAATATATAATTTTGATAATTATATTTGCCTAATTTTAACGCTTTTGGCACATCGAGAGAATTGTGTCTTGAAAAAGAGTAATTTTCGACTGTTTCTCACCACTTATCTACTCATATTTCCCAAAATTCTTATCTAATCGTCAAAAGTAGAACAGATTTGGAAAGCTGATTTCATTGCCTTTAACTCTCTAGAATATATAAAAGTCGAAAAATAATTATTTCTGGCCAAAAAAGTCCGTCTTTTGTATTTTTATTCTAAAAAACACTCAGAATTGTGCTATTTTCCAGCACATTTTCAAGATTAACAGTGTTTTAAGAAGGAAAAAGCTAGCCTACAACATGTATTCTTTACGAGTAAAGTGCATTTCTTACCACGTAAAGGCACAACACAGGAACTGAGGCGTAATGCCATGGAGTTTCTCATCGTGTAAGATTAAATGTACATGTTGTTGGAAAAGTAGTGTTGAGTGTCTGAAATTGGCGGGAATATGGCATTATAGTGTGTGAGTGGGTGGGAATATGTCAATACCATAGTAACGCTCTCTTAACCTTATAAAGACTGTGTGTGCGGCTGAAACTTTGTTTCAGGGAGGACGCTGAGCTCTTCCAACCTTTGGGGACTTTATACTGACTTTGTCATGAGACACTCAATACATCCCATTTGAGGCTTTTCCCGTGAAACTTCCTCATTGAAAACTTGCCATTGATGCAAAGAGAACGAGTCGAACACAGAGAGGGACACTCTTTGTTCATCTGCTTAGCACTTGGCTGGAAAATAATTCAGTTTGGAGCACACATATTTGGTTCTGATGACGTTGACAGTCAAGTTTGAGGGTGTGTAAATTTTCCGCATTTCTTTCAAATGAACGTCCAAAAGATGTAGTTTCTGTTCAGTGATATTCACAGTCTTTATATGGACACACTGAGAAATTCAAAGTTCTTCAAATAGTTCATGAGAAAATAGATTTTGAAGATGTTTCACTTCCAGGAAAGTTTCTCAAAAGGGAAAACGATCCTAATTTGCATGAATATGAAGTGAGATATTGGCACAGAAATATTGTCACGTGCGAAATATTACATTCATATACATATTTATGTATATATGTTAGATAGAAGAGACTCTTCTTTTGCTGAAGAAGTTTTGTTGGATCAGTGGAAAACATTATAATTCTCTCAGGTGTGCAAACGTGTGAGAATATGTTGACTATTTCTCTCCA